TTGTGTCCTGCAGTGATGGACGCCTTGTGTCCTGCAGTGATGGACGCCTTGTGTCCTGCAGTGATGGACGCGCTGTGTCCTGCAGTGATGGACGCGTTGTGTTATCCGATGATGGACAAAGCTCAATGTAATAGTCTTCGCCGGTGCGAGTGAGAGGGAGTACCTGAGAGGGGCGAGTGTGAGGGGGTACCTGAGAGGGGCGAGTGAGAGGGAGTACCTGAGAGGGGCGAGTGAGAGGGAGTACCTGAGAGGGGCGAGTGAGAGGGAGTACCTGAGAGGGGAGAGGGGTACCCCAGTCAGCCATAACTTGAATATCATGATTAATCTAACAACCATATGCTTAAGATCCGAAGTTCAACTCAACAGTTACGATCAATTCTGTAACTTTTGATAATCCGTACCATAGCCTTGTAGTTTTTTAAATTCATTAGATTATATGATGGAATTAATTGAACATCTCATATTATATAATATCTTCGTACACCGGCTGCAGGGATCCGCTGTAACCGCAGCGCTTATCCCAGCAGCTACGTGTGCCGCTTGGAATTAATTTTTAATTAGTATCTATATGGCTTATTGTGTTATGGATAATTGTATTGCCTTCATGTCTTATTAATTTATTTATGTATTTATTGTGTCCTTTGTTTGTTTCAGCAGGACAGAGCGTAGTCCCTCTCTTCTCTGTTGTTCTTCATGTCAAGCTGCTGGGTTTTCTGAATGAATTTAAAGACTTAATGAACTATGACTGAACCGCGTAGCTAGGTTCGGTCAATTATAACTACAAAGATAAGATACAATCCACACAATCTGTCATCGAAAGATTTGTTTGAAGTTCGTTCCCTAAATCGAAATCAATACTCAAACGGATTTTCAAGTGATTTAAGCTAGGTTATTAAAACAATACGAATAGTTAAAAATTGCAGTTCAATGATCGGCAAAAATATAAGGTCTTTTTGCTGTATTACTGCCACTAATCATTGCAAGTACAGAAATGTTCAAAAGTCTTCCCTCGTGGGGCGTGAAGTGAACACGAATTCCAATTAATTAATTGGACCGGAATTTATTTGCATGCTAAATTTAGTTAAGTGTACAAAAAATCCTTTCAACATATTGAAGGTATCCTCTAAAATAACATGAAGTACATAATTCTTCTTTGAAACGTTAGTTCTATACGTGCTCCGCGCCACGACGTTGCAAGCTTCCATGGGCCGCATGGCGTGGATCCACATCCCCATTATTTGCTCGATGGACATCAAGATCCACATGATCCACCTGAAGGAGATCATGATCTTCATGGTCCTCCTGGTTGAGATCCAGTCCTCCACGGTCAGTTTGAAGGATGTTTTGGTCATTTTGCTCCATGTGATCGTGGTTGCTCCACCTGGCTATTTTCGTATGCTCCACTTGTTGGCGATCACCCCGGTAGATTTTGCTGGAAAGGCAGCCTTTGGCCACCGATTTAATCGAGTTGTCCGGCAAGCCCATGTGATCCATCTTGGACAATAAGTAAAAAGTTAGGGATTCAACATGGTAGAGAAGAAAGAATTATTGCCATATATTGTATGATACTATACAAAAGGTAATTAGTGTTTGAAATTTTAAGCTACTGTGCAAAAGGGAGTGTTATCTGGTCGTCCGTCTATTTAATGAATAGACCCCTGCTTATCAATTATTTCCAAAGTATCTTTGCTTAAAAGGTTGGTAAACAGACTAGTGACATGCTGTATAGCTTGAAAACCAGAAAGGTCTCCTCTGATAGCTTGCTACTTTCCGAGTAGCATGCTTGCACCAGCATCGTCATGCGGTGCACCGACACCTGCACAAGCATCGTCATGCGGTGCACCGACACCTGCACCAGCATCACCATGCGGTGCCCCAACGCCTGCACCAGCATCATGCGGTGCCCCAACGCCTGCACCAGCATCATGCGGTGCCCCAACGCCTGCACCAGCATCACCATGCGGTGCCCCAACGCCTGCACCAGCATCACCATGCGGTGCCCCAACGCCTGCACCAGCATCATGCGGTGCCCCAACGCCTGCACCAGCATCATCATGCGGTGCCCCAACGCCTGCACCAGCATCACCATGCGGTGCACCGACGCCTGCACCAGCATCACCATGCGGTGCCCCAACGCCTGCACCAGCATCACCATGCGGTGCACCGACGCCTGCACCAGCATCACCATGCGGTGC